TTTTATGTTGTACAAAATCAGCTGTGTTCGTACTGTTCACTTGCAGTGAAAAAAACACAGAAAAAAATGCAGGGATTGCATCCAAAACAATTTTTACTTTATTTTAAGTTGATTCAAGTGTATGTATGGCTGAAATAAACAACAGCTTACTGGATTAAACTAGTCTTCTGCCTTAATGAGGCACAGCATATCAGGATTGCCTGGTGATGTGGGCTGCCTCTTTGCTGTCTGCTCCTAAGCAGGAAGAACATGGGACTGTTCTGCCAGAGGAAATTCCTTTCCAAAGGTCAGTATTTGGCAGCCACAGTCCCCATACTGACGTTTTACAAACCAGTAGGAAGCATTCCTCAGCACCTGTGTGTCAAGGTGCAGCTCCTCTACAAGTACCTGAATACATCTTCTTCCGACTTGTTACCTCTAGTGAAGCAAAGAGCTCTACTGTTTCACTGTGATTCATCTTGCTTCCCAACACAAGATGGGTTTAAGAATAAAAAGGAAAGACATATTTAGAAAAATTTGAGATAAAGGCTTTTCATAATGCATGCGAACACAGCATTGCAAAAAAAAAAAGAAGAATCAATGTAAAACACAGTTCTAGTCTATGCCTAAAACTAGATTTCATTCACAAATGAAATGCAAATTTATTTCAGTGTGTTCTTGCTCAAAGGCCATTTAGCTATGTTTCATGAAATCATACCCCCTCCATGTGGCTCCACAAGAGTATCTGCCATCTCCATCTACTTTGAAATGCCTTTTAACGCCCTGGAGAGTTCTATCTGAAATCAGACAGTTTGTGTATTTAAGTTGTTTTCACTTTGCTCTTAATACTGCCTAATAATACTGCCTAATATAGGCTGCTCATTTGGTAATCAGTTCCTGTTAGAGATATCAATACCTTCATAATAAATATTATATCAGACTCTGGATATAAACATATGCTGCTATGCTTCTGATCTCTGGTAAATAAACAACTTGCTACAGAGACCTCACTTCTCACATACGTACAATTGACACACAAATAAGAAGTGATTTGCCTGATATGTCTGAGAGTAAATTTTTTCCCCTCCCCTTTTCCCTCTTTTTATCTGAGATCTTTGGTCACAAGAGGTTTAAAGTGGTTTGGGGCTGAATTTTTAGTTATCTATCAACCATGTGTTGCCAAATCAACAGCTAATTCTTCACCATTCCCAGGAACGTCAAGGGAAGTAAGGAAATAAATTTTATTGAGTACTTTTTATTCAGACCAACTTCTCTACCCATTTTTACTCTATTCTAGCCAAAGCAAAATTTCCACTAAAATAAGTATGCATTAAGAAGTGCAGGACAGGATAGGAACCAGAACATTCAGAGGAAGGTATGTATATATTCAGTCCTAACTCCAACTATTCTCCTCCAGTATTTTGAAAGTTAAAATGACCAGTTTTATGCCAACTACTGTGATAGAACTTGAGGGATGAGATGGAAAACCAGAAAGAGGAACACAGCTGGTAAGAAATGAAATAAAAATAAAAATGGAGACATAACAATGCAAAGAGAAGAGGAGAGGAAAAAGAAAGAGTACGGGTTTAGAAAAGTATGTGGAGGGGGAAGTTGAACAAAAACAACAACCCTACAGAGAGGAAGAAAAGAAAGAAGGAAATGAGACATTGCATCCTTGGCATACTGACACACTAATGGGGTAAGGTATTCTAGCAGTCTTTAATGAAGGAGGAATTTCACACAGTAAGTTTGAATAGAAAGAAGACGGCACTTTCTCCACATAACATACAGAATTTATGATATGCAGTGTTCTCAGCTGTAGAGAGTGCAATGGATATGGCATTGAGTAATGCAAGTTAGGGTTGCATGATAACTTGTCTCCTTTATATTTGACTTCGCAGATCATTCCAGAGATCCAATGGTCTATTCTTGTCATGTCACTATCTTTAGTCTTCTGTGAAGCATTAAAAGGATTGCTACTAAGCTCTCCTGTCTCCATTTGTCTCTTGAGGGTTATTGACTTTGGTTCTATCTAAAGGTTCTTTCTTCTAAGATAAATCCCTAGAGGCCTCTTGCTGAAAAGAAAAGAAAGAGATAGAGAGGAAAAAAAAAAAAAGACTGAACAGAAACTTCCTAGTTTTCATTTATAGACATATAGAATGTAAAAATTACTTAGTTGAGCATTCCCTTTGTTTGGTAGCAATAGGCACTGCCTACACAGTTTTACACTGAAAATATCCTTGTTCTGTGACTGTAGTCTTACCAATTGCCAGCTGTGTTTAACTGGCTGTGCACATGCAAGTCAGTATCTATAGCCATTTAAAATACGAGCTTTGTTCTAAACATGGCTATGTGGATTGGTATTAGGTGAAAAGAGCTTTTGGTTTGATTTGAATATCTCATTTCTGCGGTTCCTTTCCAAACTCTGGCACACGGCTCATCCTCAAATGGAGTTTTTCTTTATGTTTAAGGACTTAATTCATCCTGACGTTGCATGCCCCTAATTGCCACTTTTTAAGATAGACAACACACTTTCATGAAGACTTGAACTCTTCCATAAAGCATGGAACACAGCTGCTTCCTTAGCTGTTACAAAACAAAAAACAAAAAACAAATCAACAGTGACAACTATAACTTTACTACAGATAACCTTTATAGAAGCACAGTGACTACCACATATATAAAATTCAGGACTATTCATCTTTAAAAAGGCCAAAAATAAGTATTTATCACACAAAAAGAGAACACTGAAATGCAGCTACTTCGAGAGTAAACTTAGCAGCCAAAGAAATACACAGAAATAATCTGTGGAAGCTCCACATGCTGAACTAATGTTAAGTTTAAGTGATTCTAACCAGGAGCAGAATTTGGTAAGAATTCAAGAATATACAGTTAGTAGTAATGCCAGATCAATATTGTTAGAAACCACCCAAGAAAAAAGCCTCTTGCTGAAAATATAAGTTACCTTTTACAGCAAAGACCTCAAGCTATATTAAAGGAATGTTATTTCCTTCCCTTTCCTTCCCTCAGTCAAAATGGCATTTCCAACAACACTCCATATAAAACACAGTTTAAATGGTGAGTCAGAGACTGAAGGATCAATCCATTCAGCAGGGCCTGAGAAGTTTCAACTTTATATAGTATGTTGCAGCTAATGTCATCTCATGTAATTTCAGTTTCTTTCCATATATACTCTGAAGGGTTATAACTTCTTTGCCTGGTGTAAAGCCTAGCATTCAAACTGTTTTCTATGGCACTGAGATTCGATCATCACAAAAGCTTCAACAAAGGAACGTTACAAAACTCCCATGACAGTCTACCCGTTTTATAGGTAGAAAAAGGCACATCTGAAACATAGCTAGGGACTGAACCCAGATCACTGGATCTCAGACCAGTTCCAACCATAAGCAACCTACTGTTTTCTTTTGCTCATGCTAAATTGCATAATAGTAATTGACACAATTTTTATAAAGACTACTGGACCCCCATAAACAAAAAGCCCTGGTAATTCATTTCTTCTACACAGTAGAAAACCAAATTAGTTCTTGAGATTCTAGACGAAATTGATTACCAAAAACTTTCAGTGGAAGAGTCTTGAAAGGCAGATTATAAACGAAAAATCATGATTGCCTTAAATGTGCAAAGGGCAAGACCTATACCTACCCTAAGTTTCCTATATCAGCCTCCACCACAAATACTTTTATGATTTATCCCAGGTAATAAATTAACTTCTGCTCCTTCCAGAGAGAGGCTTTAGACTTGCACTCTTTTTTACAGCTACAGCTTATACAGAGATATAACTCCCAGTAATGTTATGTGACTGTAGATTGGCCTGTTTTCTTGCAGTTGCCAAGCCTGGTGAAGCACGGAAACAATTAGTGAATTACAGCAGTGGAATCTCTGAATGGTTTTAATTAATGGATGCCAGGGACCTGGAGGGAGGTCACCAGTAACAAGAACGAAGGTATTTCCTAGAGACTTTTGAGAGCCTAACCTATTACTCAACCAGCCAAACCATCTATACCCCCAAGGAAAGGAAAAAGCTTCCTAATTTAATGATGTTTTGTGCTTTTTGGGTGTCTTATGAGATGTGGGAATAGACCCGTATGATAACTTTTGCATCAAAAATTTCATTTCATTTTCCACTAGCATGATTTTCCATTGTTAATATTTTTACTCTCTGCATGTATTAAGGCAAATTAAAAAATGAAGAGAGCAAGTCAGCTTGTCAGATATTTCCTAAAGTATCATGGGAAATGATTGGTTTAGGATGACTGCACAAAAACTGCTGAGGACCAATAAACATGTGCATGGTATGGACATATTGAAAATTAACTAGGCTCAGAAGCATACCATATAGCTGAGCTTTTGGGACAGGAGAGAAACTTAATGTTCACTGCTTGGGACTTAACATGAAGGAAAAAGCATTATAATTACGCGGAGAGATTATGGATCTTTAGGTTTTGCATTCTCTTGAATTTCTAAAATGTTAGCAACAAAAACATCCATAGTTACAGCTTCAGGGGAGAAAAAGAGTTTCCACAAACACAATAGTTAAGCCTGGAAGACAGGATTGAAATAGGCCCATCAAGCAGGATTATTTACAGTTAAAATTAAAGCCATTAAGTCTCACTATGAAACAACAATTCACTATGCTAAATTGTTATAGGGTTGATATGCTGGTATTTTCATGAATTCTAAGTCCTACAAGGAATTTCTTGGAACGTTACTGTAGTCTTCTGATTTATATTCTCTAAGAGGTCCACAGGAGGGTAAAAAAGCCTTGTAAGATATATCTATCTTCCAAATTTTCCCTAATACAGGGAAGGCAGCTGAAGCTCAGTGCTCTAAGAAACTCTTGGAAGACTTTCAAGACGCTCAGTATGAACACTCAGAGCCTACACAGAATCAAAAATATGTGCTTCCATTCCCTAACAGTTTTGTGCCATGTATTTCCTCCATGCTAAATATCTCCAAAGCTTGAAGAGCAAACTGTGTAGCAATATCCCAGGATGAATTACCTTTGCTGTAGATTTACCGTCTGGGGAGATGATGCTTCTCCTCATTTCCCAAACTACCCCTGGACATTCTCATCCTACTAGCCCATTGGAGACTGTTCCACAGAGCTGCCTGGACCCCCCTAGAGCATCCACCCTGTGGAAGAAACAAATATTGAAAATTTGTGGTGCAACACTAAAATCTTCTGAACTCATGATAATCTGAAGACAGTGGGAGAGAAAAATTAATGTAGATTAAAACAGGATATAGAAGGGCTCTCATTACACTAGCTAAGTAGGGAGGAGAGTTGTAGGATTGTACTATTTCTTCAACATACTCATGTGTATAATAAAACTGCTGAAGGCACAGTTAATTTCAGGAAGATTTGAAGACATAAAATATAAGCAGAGATTTCAATGGCAGCAATTGGTCAATAATGTGAACACCTAATCTTGCATATGAAATCCTTTTCTCTTGGAAGTGCTACTGAATTTTTACATGCTTAGCAGTTAAAAGAAGGGTCTCTGTTACTACTACATTTCTGTAATGAGTGACTTCATTATATATACAGGGTACGGTGGTACAAAATGCTGAGGTAGCAGCATTTCTTCTTGAGGACAATGTACGCCTTCTAGGATTGAGACATTCCTTCATGTATAGTCTTCAATGTATGTGGAGGTAATAAATGAAAATTGGAGAAAAGTTTAAAAATTAATTACTCTGCTAAATTGTTTTCAAGCTATAGCCCAGAACATATTGCACCAAATGCCTATTTAAATCAATGAATAAATAAGCATTAGAAATAATCATCATACATATAATTCAGTTGCTTGAAAACCCTAATAGGCATGAGATATAAAATTGGTCTTTTATTTCAAATCTTTTAAAATCATTGCTCATTTACTAAAAAAGAATTCATTCTACACTCTCTTGTTTACGACAAAAGACAATTGAGTAAATGGTGACTCCAGATAACCCATAAGTCACTGGTTCTGTTTTTCAAAGACATGCCTGCTTTCTATTCCTTTGGCCTTGGCTGCCTAGCAACCTCCACAGAGCTCTTAGTCTATACTAATTCTGGAGAGTTTGCATTTATATATTTATTTATGAGAATGTCTATAAGGAAAGCAGAGAAACAAAAAGCTGTTTGTTCCTTCCTTTTAACAATGGACTCCAAACATCTCACCTCAGTGAAGAACACAGTCCTTGGTCTTGCAGTGAGAGGTGCCTACCTCCTTGAAATTGCTTAGGAGCTAAACAAATCTTGCTCTCCATGGGACAAAAGCTGAGTCTCTGCAGGAAGCTCCTGCTATAATAGGCACCGATATTTTTTGCCCTCCCTGTTGATTTGATAAGCTTTGATAAGCTTTTTCATCCTGAAATACTAAGTGTTTATGTAAAGCTCCTGTTTTCTTGCAGCCTGGAGCTTTGATGTAACAAGAGGCAGAGTTTCTGATGCTGTACTGAGTCACTAGCAGTTCCTACATTGTCTGAGCACTGAAGGGAAATGGAGATTAAAACTCTGATCCCCTGCTGTGTCTGTGACTTAAACCAGGACGGTTTGGAAGGAGATGGGACTACTTATTATAAGCAGCTTGAAACTGGATATAGCAGGTCTTTCCGTGAACCATTTCAGAATAAGAAAAGAGTTATTGTTTCCTAAAGTGAGAAACAGGAAATGGGCATGCCAACAGTTTCTCTTTGAAGAGCATATTTCCTCAGTTTTTTTTTTTTTAATTATTATTATTTCAAAAGAGAGGATTGCACAGAAAATCTTCAAACACCACAGAAAATACTCGCTTCTTTTCTTGCCAATTCTATTCCAAACACCGCTTTCCAAATACCACTGGATAAATTTATGGCCTGATCAACACATCCCTTCTCTCCAATCAGGAAAAAAAAAAAAAAAAGAGAGAGAAAGAGATGGTCAAAGATCTGTCCTAAGCCTCACTGGCTCTTCGGTATAATGAAGGCATGGTCAAGCCATGATAAGTGTTCACAGCTTGTGGCATGGTTAAGGCATGACAAGTATTCATAGCTCGTGGCTTACATGACCATTATGTGGCTTTTGTGTTTTGCTGTTTTTGTGTGAATCCTGAACTCATATGGCAAAGTATTCACCTACTTCTGGATCAAACTGAAGCAACCTGAAACACGAAAAACTGATGTCTCTTGAGAATTAGCAATATGCCTTGATCCCTCCATTACATTTCTTCCTAATGAAGTCAACCTGTACCTGTGTTTTGCACATAAGGAACATACAGAGATTCAGTGAGAGAACATGAATCTGAAGCCAGAGCTCCAAACTTCCAGGTTCTGTTGCTTACCAGAATATTTATCTACACAAACATAAGGTTACTTAAACAATATAAACAACCACAGAAGAAAACTCATCAGGTTTACTCCAAAGAAAAAAAGTGCCCGCATCCATTTGCTTTGATTTACAGCCTGCTAAGATCAGGACAACAATCGTGAGATTATGAAACTATTTGTAAATCTTGGTGCTTACATGTACTTAGGCATCAGTGTTCATTTACCCCCAGTTTAATAGAAGGAAATAAGTATTTTTTTTAACCCTCCTTAACGTTGTAACAGAAAACAGAAATTATATGGGATTATATCAGTGTCCAACGAAATACAATATAAACAACTAAATGAATGATAGAAAATGACTCAAACCCAACCTCCTGGTTAAAAGAGTTTCATTTGTTTATAGGCACTTATGAACAGAGAAAATATCCATGGAAATTAAAATAGATGTGCAAAAGGATTCATTAAACAGGGAAAAGAGAGTTATGGGCAGTAAACAGAGATCTGGGATTTCTTTTTTCTATTCACAGATTCACTATAAACAATTTTCTAAGTTGCTTTATTTCTGTTGTTCTGTGGGATGACATAAGTTTGTAGTTCTCAGCAAAACTCACAGTTTGTACTCCTGAGAGTTACTGTAATACAAATAAATTCTAATTCTAATCCATAATTAAGTAATTGCTTATTGATAAGCAATTTGCCCATATTTATGTTCATTTTTCACAGAAAATCGTTAATAAAGCAAAAACTGAGTAGCTGATATTTCCCAACCTTGCAAAGTATGAGCATGTTTTCACATGCTGTTCAAATTTAAGCCAAGCTTCCTGGAAATAAACCTTCAAATGAAGAGTAACAGAAACACAGACACTTGTCTATTTGCTCATTTACTTTAGTGAGCCGTCTGCTTTAAATGAGTTTAAGAAGATGTAAACTGGCAATAGAAAACAAAGATATTCTTCATGCGTTTTTGTAAAATATTGTTATAATGAGCTTTTCTACACAATGAAGAAAATGAGAATTGTGCCAAAGCAGCTATCAGACAAAACTGTTTGGAAATAAGCAAAAAATAGGTAAAGTCAGTTGGAGGCAGTCTCATCCTAATTTCTGAAGGCTATAATTATGTTTATAGATGTAACCTAGCATATGCCGGTTGTAAAATCTCACCTGCCATGCACTTACGGTCAAAATACAAGAGGCATACCAAAAAGATTGATTTTGGCTATCTTCCTCCCTTCCTCTGCACTTCAAAAGAAGAGAGAGATGCAACTGGCTTAGTTTTCAGGAACTGGAACAAAATGCAGTTTTAAGAAGGTTCTGACAAAAGACATCATAAGGAAAATTAAGTTTTATTAGCAAAAAAAGGTGAAAGGAAAACTATTATTAATATACAAGCATAATCTATCCTTGAATCAAGATATGCTACTCATCAAGGAGAACTGCAAGGTGTTTCTTGAAAACAAAATTATTCCAGTTCCTCACTTTAAGCACACTGATTTTACTTCAGATCAATGCCAGTGTAACTGAGATCAAAATTTGGTTCAACCTCTTTTTCTAAATCTTCTAAAAACTTATCATGGCAATAGCAACATGAACTCACAGAAGTTATAATCAGGCTTTAGGAATTGTTTTCAGAATGGTTATTTTTAAAAAATTGCAAGGGAATGAAATCATAAAAGAGCTGCAGTCAAAGGAAGATTTATTGAAGAAAAAAAACTTCTACATATTCTACCATGATGACATAATAAATAAACTAAAGAAACAGAAGAGAACCAACAGCAATACAGTTCCTGTTTTTGATAAATGTTCACCATTTGGCTACCCATATACATCACTTATACAAAGAAGGGGATTCAATTGCCAAAAGAAAGGGGGCTATTTTAGATGCTCCAAGTTACCATGTCTGGCACTGAGTTGCCATTCCAAGGAACATAGGTTTGTTGTAGGTACCATGCCATACCTGCCTGCCCCTGTAGAAGTCTCAGACACCCTAGGGCATCTTAAATAGCATTACATGCTTTCATTTATGAATCTTAACCACTCAGGTGCTGTTACCAAAAATGTGTGTGAGCTCTGGGTATTGATATGTTAGGTAACAGTAAGGCAAAGTTAATAAAACAGGAATAATCACAATGTGCTATGTCCACATAAGACTTTCAGCAGTCCCAGAGGGTACAGAGAGAAAATGCTGCTCCATACATTTTCTTAAATAAAGAAATTCATCTTTATACCTATTCTGTACTACCAGTACATATGAAGAAGTTATATCTCACCTCTGAATAATTGCTGATTCACTGTGCAGTAAAACTAGCTACCAGTGTTTTCTTGATGATGTGAAAAGGTGCTCTTGCCAGTTTTCATTCCCCTCAGTTGTTGATATATTCTGCTATTTCAGAATTCTGTTTAATTTTATATGTTTCGTAGAATAGAACTTTTCTACACTAAAGAATTGGCCAAACTCCCTAATCCTTCATCACTTATGGCAGGGTCTTATATATTTTTTTTCCTGATCTTTAGCCTAGTGAATTCCTGAGTAAAGACTATTCTTCTGTATCAGACCTATAATTTCTGAGTATTCCGCGCTGCTGATTTTTCCTCTTTCAAGAATGCCAGATGGAAACAAAAGAAAGAATAGTTGCAAGTCTTGTATGCTGTTATTTTTATACTTCTGCACTCGAGTTAAGCAGATGGAGATTAGGTAATTCTACACAGCTCTCTCTCCAAAACAAGTTGAGTTAAGGTATAAATATAAATTTCCAAAATTATGTGTTGAGTTGTTTCTATGTAATCTGCTACAGCAAAGCAATTCACTCATATACTTCATATTATTGATTGGAAATGTTTTTGTG